ATCTACCCATCCCGCCTGCAGGGGACACAGGTTCAATCCCTGGTCTGGGAAGATTCCACAGGCCGTGGGGAAACCAAGGCCATGGGCCACAATAATTAAGCCTGTGCCCTGGAGCCCGGGAGCTGCAACTAATGACGCCTATGAGCTCTAGAGCCTGTGCTCAGCAACAAGGGAAGCCACAGCAATCAGAAGCCCACACACCGCAACTAGAGTAGCCTCTGCCCTCTGCAAACTAGAGATAAGCTCTCACAGCAATAAAAACCCAGTGCAGCCAAAAAAAAAGAACATATGTACCTGAATCACCTTGCTGTACACCTGAAACTGATACAGCATTGTAAATCAACCATGCTTCAATTAAAATAAAAACAAAGAAACACTTCTGAGATATCAGGTAACACAAGGACTAGAGCAGAAACGGTAACTGTTCCCGGCACTTTTTCTCCCCTATTACACAGTAATAGAATTCTTAGCCGGGCTAGGGCCATGGGAAGATGTTCCGGTCCTGAGACAGCAGAAGGGACATGGTCGTGCCCCTTAAGAGGAGAAGCATGCCTTCACTGTTAACCTAAGGAAAAGTCTGGTGCTTGGCATGCTAAGGACCAAAAGCAGACTGAAGCCAACTGACCAGTGAGTGAGAGGTAAAAAGAAAAAGAAAGAAAAAAATGAAGGTGGCTAAGTAGATGGCTTTGGGGGGAGATTTGGCTGTGATGGGGAGCAGAGGGATGGGGCAGCAGCTGGAGGGGACGTGGAGGCCGGGGGCAGCCATGCTGATGCCCTGCTCGGATCTCCCTGCGAGAAAGGAGCTGATGAGCCCCAAGGAGTGCAGTCAGCCGACAGCCTCCACCTGTAGCACCTTGGAGCCGGCCAGTGACAAAGCAGTGTGGGGATACCGGACCGGGCCATTGCTACCCTGAGGACCCAACCGACATAGATGGAAAGGGTTTTCTGTTGTTCCCTTTAAATGACAGAGACCAGAGTTTGCTTAGAAGTCCCATGAGAAGAAAGAGCAGCCAAAGACGGACGAGAGAAGATGCACAGATGGAGAGCGGGAGGTCCCTGGGAAAGCAGAAGATGGAGTCTGGACTGCGGGGGAACAGATCCTCAGGCCCGGGGAGGAGGAAGGAGGCAGGAGGACAGGGGGACCGAGCGTGGACATGCGAGGGGGTGTAGGTTTGGGAGCGAGGTGATGGTAGACCTCCCACCAGAGAAGTTTCTTTTCCTGAGACGGGGGAAGCAAGGCCAGGCTCCAGAATCAGGGAGCTAAGTCCTTCGAGGTTGCCCAGAACTGTGTCTGTTTCTTTTCCTGGTCTCTGTTTTCCCACCTGCACAATAAACAGCTTGGGTTAGAACCCTGCTCCCCCAACTTGTTTAAGCCTGGATGGGTTTTCAAAAATACACTTTTGGGGGGACCCTCACTCTCAGATGCTGGATCAGAATCTCTGGGGCAAAAGTGGTAAGGGCAAGAATCTGTGTGTGTATGTGTGTTTGTGTATATATACATATATATACGTGTACTTTAAAAAATATGTATTACTTATTTATTTGGCCACAATGGGTCTTCGTTGCAGCACATGGATCTTTAGTTACCGCTATGTGAACTCTTAGTTGCGGCTCATGGGATCTAGCCCTCTGCCTTGGGAGTGCAGAGTCTTAGCCACTGGACCACCAGGGAAGTCCCAGTATACATTTTTTTTAAATGGCCGGGGATGATGTGAAGGCACATCCAGGTTTGGGAACCACCCTGCCGAGCCTCTCAGGACCCCTCCAGCTCTGAGAGTTTGTGGTCCACCCCCTGCCCCTCCCAGGATGGTGCAGAATTCTGGCACAGCATTTGACTGAAGCTATAAGCTACAGAGTAAGCCACGTGCCACTATCTGTTATCAGGAATTTAAAAAGCCACAAAGGGCTTCTCTGGTGGTTCAGACAGTAGAGAATCTGCCTGCATTGAAGGAGACACAGGTTCAATCCCTGGGCTGGGAAGATCCCCTGGAGAAGTGAATGGCTACCCACTCCAGTACTCTAGACGGGAGAATCCCATGGACAGAGGAACTTGGCGGGCTACAGTTCATGGGGGTCACAAAGAGTCGGACACAACTGAGTGACTAACACGAAGTCCCAAAGGTACCAGAACTCAAAAGAACTACAAGGCAAAAAACCTGGCAGCAAAATCAGAGGTTCTGCCTGTGTGGGAAGCCCACTCAGGCTCCTATGATCATGTTTCCAAACCCCCTAGGTGGGACGTGGTCAAGGGCAGTCCCAGGAACCAGAGACAGGCATGCTTTTGGCACCTCTACAAAGGGGTGGAGACCTAGCCAGGCCTTTCTGAAACCTGAACCCTGGGGTGGGGGAGGGGAAGGAGGGGCTGCCCGGCCCTGAGAGTCCACGTCTGCCCCCCTCCACCCCAGAGCTCTCCTCGGCCTGGTCCCCCTTCTAGGGGCTGCTCCAGACCCTGCAGGCCACCTCCACTCTCTCTTTGCCTCCCTCTGCCCCTAAGGTCGAGTGGGGACAGGCTGGGGCCACCAGCCAGCTCCATGGACGGGGGACTTCGCCTCTGTTCACCTCCCAGCTTTGGAAAGAAAAGAAGAAAGGTCTGTGTTGCTTTGCATCTGGGAGATCCTTCCCCGTCCTAAACTTCTGGAGGCAGGAAAAAGGGATTTGACCTCGGATTGACTATAAAAGAAGGAACAGAAAGTGCCTAGAACCTTCCCACAGGTATGAATTTCTTCACTTTTGCTGGCATGTGTGAGTATGTGTATGTGACAGGTTTTCTATCGGTCCGAGATGAAGCTGTCTTAATGATCTCCTGGGCCCCTTCTGACTGCTTCGGTGCTGTGATTCTGCAGCCCTAACTTTCATTCAGTCATTCAGTGTTTCCTTAGTACCCATCCTGTGCCAGGTGCTGCCACTAGATAAGCCCTGATCCCTGCCCTCAACGGTCCCCAAACTGGATGGGGAAACAATAATCGTAATAACAGCAACCACACTTACGGCGGGCCAGGCATTGGGCTAAGCTTTGTATTTACATTAGGCTCATGTATCCTAGCAAAAACTGGAAGAGGTTAAGTGTATTCCTAGCCCCATTTTACAGGTGAGAAGAGTGAGGCTCAGTGAGATGAGGTCACAGAGTAGATTGTGGAACCAATGCTTGGAACCACTGTGGATGCAGCCTGCCTGAACCTAAAGAGGCAGTTCAGGGCAACAGGGGCACCATTACAGAGTATAGGTCTCCAGAGTGTAAGGCAGGACCAAGCTCAGAGCTGGAGATGAGGCAGCCTCCATGAGGCCCGCTGAGAGCTCTTGGGTCATCTGGGACTTGAGGTCAGTGATGGTCTGGATCAGGGGTCCCCCTCTCTCATTCCGGGGGGCCAGGGTGATGGCAGATAGAGCAGGAGGACTTCAGGATTCCCAGCCAGCTTCCCTAGGAGTTGTCTGTCCCCATACTTACAGAGTGGGGGCTTCCCTGACCTGGGGGGCTAGTGTCCCAGCAGCCTGAGAGGTGGGTGGCCCCCAGGCCTGGGAGGCAGGGGCAGGCCCAGGTCACTGTGGATTCCCCTCAAGAAAGCCTGGACCACAGTTTCCCCCTCCTCACAGTTCTCGACTCCCATCTCCCATCTGTCCCCAGAAAGACAAAAGCTGATTATTCCACTGGGGGCTGTACTGGGCCCCATGAATGGAGTATTGAAAACCCTGTGTCCACATCCAGATAGTTTTTCATCCTCTTCCCAACCAGACTGTTTGTCCGCCAGGATGGAGGCAGAGCCAGGGAAAGATGGGGGTGGGGGGTGTTCCTGCTGAGAGGGGCACCCACGTCCCTGGGCAACTCAGTCTCAGTGTATCCCAAATAGAATCATCTTCTCTTTAAAAAAATTTTTTTTCTTTGTCTGCACTTGGTCATAGTTGCAGCATGTGAGATCTAACTAGTTCCTTGACTGGGGATGGAACCTGGGCCCTCAGCATCGGGAGCATAGAGTCTTAGCCACTGGACCAGCAGGGAAGTTCCTCAAACAGAACCACCTTCTAAACCAGCCACTCCTCACCACCCCCGCCACAACCGTCCAATCATTATCCGTACATTGGGATGCCAGTGACATGGTGTGAATGTTCACTGAGCTTTACACTGAGGATTTATGCTCTTCTTGGCTTGGAAACTTCAATCCAAAATGAAACAAAATACTCTCCCAGGGCTTCCTACCTCAAAAGGGCAGAGAATCCCAAATGGAATTTAAACTTCCAGTCCTACACCATTTTTGCGTATTTGTGACCCATGGGAACCATGTCTCCTTGATGTTTTTTCCTTTACATTGACTCTTTTTTTTTTTTTCCCTGATTTAAATTAACTGTAGTCTATTCCCTGGCAGTCCAGCAGTTAGGACTTGGCACTTTCACTGCTGGGACCCAGGTTCAATCCCTGGTTGGGGAACTAAGATCTCACAAGCCATGGTGCAGCAAAAAATAATAATAATAATAAATTTTAAATTTAATTAACTTTAAAGGGAAACCTGATATTGTTCCAGGTCAATAGAAAGCCAGGATCCTTTGTCATAAACAGAATGCACTACAAAAGGAAAAAATTAAGGCAACAGTAAATGTCCATCTATCTCCCCGCCAAAATGATGTGGGTTTTGCTGCCAGTGGCATCAGCACCTTGTTTTGGGATTTGCTGTCCTGGAGGAAAAACTCAAAGCCCTTGGCACAGCCGTGTGGACCTATCTTGGTTTGGGGTTTGGGATCGCATGACCCTCCAACCTCATCTCCCACCACCTGCTTTCATACACCCTTTGCTTCAGCCAGACAGACCTAACTCCTCATGAGGAGTTACCATGAGTATTTCCATTCTCATCCTCCAACCACTGCCTCCATTCAGAATACCAAACCCCAATGGAAATGTCATTCCCCACCCCGACGCCCCCACAAAGCTTTCCCTGGGCCCTTCCAGCTGGAAGAAGAGCCTGGAACCTTTGATTCCAGATGTTCCAGCTGTGACTTCTCACCACACCTTGATGAGACCATTGGAAAGACCCATTGGCTGGACACACAAGGAAGCAGAGATGCACGTTGGTCCCCAGCCCGACGAGAGGAGCAGGGGATGGGGGCCCGGAGACAGGACCGCTGCCCCTTCTCCTCTCCCCCCAGCCCTGTCCCTCCTCCTCCTGTTACCACTGGGTGAGTGCCCCCCGGCCCCCCAACCCTTCCCCTTCCCTTTTCTGACACTCAGCTTTCCCAGTTGTAAAATTATGTTGTGATGTGGCCTGTAAACGAGGTGGTTTCCAACATCCTTTCCAGCTCTGACGTTTGCCCCAGGTTGATGAAAGCTAAGGTCTGAGTTGGGGGAGTGGAAGGCTCAGTGTTAAAGGCAAGGGCTCGATGCACACAGAGTCTAGGCAGTGAGCATACTGGAAATAGGGACGGAGGGAAAGGGCGTGGGCTCACCAACGGATGTTGGAAAGCCTCCTGGTGGAACAGATGGAATCAAACAACCTAGGGACTAACCTAACTTAGGAAAAAAGAAACTGACTCTCAGTTTCTTCATCTATAAAATGGGTACACTAGCACATGCCTCAGAGGTTGTAAGGTAAGGTATGTGGCTATGTCTGAGAAGCTTGTGCAGAAATGAGGGGCTACTAGGGGGTATTAACTTCTCACACCAGGCCAGTTTCCTTCTTAGGCCACATGCTTAGAATGGTTTCGTGAAGAGGAGTGTGGCTATCTGGGTTAGAGTTCCTGCTCCACCCTTTATTTGCTATGTGGCCTTAAGCAAGTGGCCTGACCTCACTAAACCCGAAGTTTTCCCTTCTGCAAAATCCAAGCTGCCTCATAAGTTGTCCTAATGATTAAGTGAGCCAGGCCACATAAAGCAATGAGCACAGTGCTGACATATACATACATGAAAAGCTGAAGCAGAGGACTGATAGGGACTTCCCTGCTGGTCCAGTGGTTAAGACTCTGTGCTTCCAATGCAGGTGGTGTGGGTTCTATCCCTGGTCAGGGAACTAAGACCCCACATGCCACAAAGCATGACCAAAAAACCAGAACCAAAAAAAAAAAAAAAAAAAAAAACCACCAAAAAAGAAACCCAAAGGAAAGACTTACATAGGTAAACTTTTTAGGGGGAAACCAGAATGAAACCCAAAGTTAATCTACACCCTTAAGGCAAAGCTACTAAACATCTGGGGAGTAACAGACTCTGGGCAGGAAGCTCTAGGGGAAACCAAGATGACACAGAACTGGCCACATCACTGGGCAGAAGGCCTGGAAAGGGGTGTGTATATGGCGCCCAGAGATTCAGAGGAAAAAGAGAGCCCTTTTAGCTGAGAGTTCCAGGAAGGCTTCCCATAGGAGGGGGCTCCATCTGCAGGGTTGTAATGAGCAGGGTGAGCAGAGGAGATGGCAAGATTACAAATCTGGTGACCAGACTGATGCAAGATTAAGAAGGAAGGTGAGGCTGCTCTGAAGATCCTAGAAGGCTTTGCAGAGAGTTTAGGGTCCAGGACTTCTGCAGGAAAAGGGGAGGCTTTGAGGAGTCCAGCAGTGGAATGGGATCAGCCTGTCTGGGTCTCAGGCAGATCTCGTTGGGATGGCCCATGGATCAATGGGTGAGGGATGAAGCTAGAAGGCCAGCTGGGGCAGTCAAGGGCTTTGGCAAAGCAGGGGTAGTGACAAGGAAGCGGGTGATGGTGAGGACTGGAGGGGAGGATTGTAGGGGAGGCTGTGATCCTGGGGCCAAGGGAGGGGGCTGAAGGGCCAATGCTCTTCCTCACTCTGTTCCAGCTGGTGCCCTACAGCCCACCTCACTGCCCTTTCCAGGTAGGTGCCCCTGCCTCTCCCCTCCACCTTTCCCCCGGACTCTCACTCCCAAAGCACTCAGGTGCTTAGAAGTCCTCTGTTACTCAAGATGCAAAGGGACAGCCCCAGTGTGCCCATTTTACAGAAAGGGCAAAATAAGGCCCAGGGGGGACTGATCCCAAGGTCCCCACAACTTCACGGCAAGGTGGACATCCTCTAGGTAGGGCCCAGTGACGCCCCCCACCACCCCGTGCCAGCTTGACTCTCTCCACAGAACTCAGGCTGGTGGGGGGCCCAAGCCGCTGCCGGGGCCGCCTGGAGGTCCTACACGGGGGCTCCTGGGGCAGCGTCTGCGACGATGACTGGGACGTGGTGGACGCCAATGTGGTGTGTCGTCAGCTGGGCTGCGGCCTGGCGCTGCCCGTGCCCCGGCCCCTCGCCTTTGGCCAGGGCCGAGGCCCCATCCTGCTGGACAACGTGGAGTGCCGCGGGCAGGAAGCCGCCCTGAGCGAGTGCAGCAGCCGAGGCTGGGGCGTGCACAACTGCTTCCACTACGAGGACGTGGCGGTCCTGTGTGACGGTGAGCGCGACAGCCCAGGACCCAGAAGGGCAGGCCGACTGCCGGGCGGCAGGGCTGTGGGCTGGACACGTGAAGGGACTTCCCAGAGGTAAGAATGTTCCAGTGAAGACCAAGCCAGCAGCTGCAGTGTGTACACAGTCCTGGGGAAGACCCCCAGCCTGGCAGTCAGGAGCCTGGGCCCTGCCGTGCCCCAGCTCATGGTATGACCTCTGCTGAAAACCAGCAATACTGCTTCCACAGAGGGCTTCGATTGTCCCAACAGAGAGCCCCCTTGCAGTTTTATATCCAGACCATTGTGGTCTGGTGGTTTAAGGCCCACTTGGCACAGACCTGCAACAAATCTCTGAGAGGCTTTGACCTCGAAAGCAGTAGTTCTGTTTTTTTAAGAAAATCAGCTGGAGGGCTCATTATAAAACCCAGATGGTGGGACTTTCCTGGCGGTCCAGTGGTTAAGACTCTGTGCTCCAATTGCAGGAGGCACAGGTTCAACCCCTGGTCAGGGAACTAAGATACCCGCATGCTGCATGACACAGGAAACACACACACACAAACACACACACAGATGGTAGCCCCATCCCAGAATTTCTGATTCTGCAGATTTGGGATGGAGCCTGAGAATTTGCATGCTGCATTTCAAACAAATTCTCAGGTGATGTGATGCTGCTTTAAAAACCAAGGAAACCAAGAACTGAAAGAAATCCTCTAAAGCAAACTCCTCTAAAGCTACTGCTTTCAGGACTCAGGCGGCCCTTTCTCCTCTCTTACCCAGAGTCCCCAGCTTTGACCCTTTGTGTGGCCAGAAGCCCAGAGATCAGGAAACTTAGGGGTCCATACAGTGCCCCTCACATATGTGGGTGTGTGAGGATGGAGAACAGAAATATCCACATCTTCCTCTCTTCCACCCTGCTTCTGTCCCAGAATTCTTGCCCACGCAGCCCCCAACAAGGAGAGTGTTAACCAGCAGGGCACCCCCTACAACGCCCAAGAATGGAAAAGGTAAGTAAAGGCAACGTGGGGGACCACCTGGGTCTTAAGAGAAGGATTCAGGAGGAATCTCCCAAATCCTACCCTAGGCAGTGGGAAGAGACGGATTACTGATGGGTGAGTTTGGTCATTCCCTCACCCCTGCTCTGCCCCCTGCACCCCCACCCCCCAGGCTGCTCACTGTCTGCATAGGGAAAGAGGATTCATTCTAGTGAGATAAAAATAATCAGCACAAGGTTGGAGAAAATAAAACAGGTGGGCTAGTGTTAGTCATTCAGTCGTGTCCAACTCTTTGTGGCCCCATGGACTGTAGCCCTCCAGGCTCCTCTGTTCATGGAATTCTCTAGGCAAGAATACTGGAGTGGATTGTCATTTCCTTCAAAAGAGGTAGGGGCTGAAGCTTAATCAATGGGAGAGTCAGATATACATAGAAATGCTGATAATGATCTTAGAGCAAGAAACTGAAAAATTCTCTTAAAGAAGGACAGATAAAAAGGCAAGGAAGTCCAGAGGAGGAAAAGGATCCCATTCATCAGAGATTAGGGAGGGCTTCCTGGAGGCAGAGTTGTTCGTGAAGTAAGGAATCAGCACATTCTATACAGTTTAGGAGAGCATGGACAAGGGCAAGCAGAAAGTGACAAGAGTCATAGGATTCTATCCTCAGATCCCCCAAAGCGCCCCTAATTTAGACTGTGAGGAGACAGTGCTTTGGGGGTAAGTGGGTGAGCAGGTCCTAGGTCCTGAGACACCATGTACTGTGGGGATGCAGAGGGCCTGGGGCAATAGGAAGACCACTGGATTGGGATGGTCAGCAAAGCCCTGCGGGAGATGCTCCTGGTTCCCGCCCCCATCACCAGGTGAGGGCAGCGTGCGCCTGGTCGGGGGCGCAGGCCCGTGCCAGGGCCGAGTGGAGATCTTGCACGGTGGCCTGTGGGGCACCGTTTGTGATGACGACTGGGGGCTGCCGGACGCCACCGTGGTGTGCCGCCAGCTGGGCTGCGGAGCGGCCCTGGCAGCCACCACCAACGCCTTCTTCGGCTACGGCACGGGGCACATCCTGCTGGACAACGTGCACTGTGAGGGCGGCGAGCCCCGTCTAGCAGTCTGCCTGAGTCTGGGCTGGGGCGTGCACAACTGTGGCCACCACGAGGACGCCGGCGCGCTCTGCGCAGGTGCGGGGCTGGGGACGGGGTTGGCGGACGGGGCGGGGGCGGGGCGGTATTCTGAAGCAGGAGACAGGGAGAAGGGCCTTGGACGCGACCGGGATGTTGAGTGGCTTGATGTTTGCCTGAGCTCTTTCGAAAAGGCCCCCAAATTAGTTTTTATTTCTCAGTACTGCTCTAGAAGTGCCTCAGAAAATTCTAGCAGACTCCACGACTATGTAATACTGCAGTATTACCCCACCAATACTCCAGAGTTGTCTAACAGTACTCCAAATATGTCTCCAGAATTTTCTGGCACTCAGTTTAGTTCAGTCACTCCGTCGTATCCGACTCTTTGTGACCCCATGGACTGCAGCACGCCAGGCTTCGCCGTCCATCACCAACTCCCAGAGTTTACTCAAACTCATGTCCATTGAGTGGGTGATGCCATCCAACCATCTCATCTGTCGTCCCTTTCTCCTGCTTTCAAGCTTTCCCAACATCAGGGTCTTTTCAAATGAGTTGGCTCTTTGCTTCAGGTGGCCAAATTATTAGAGCTTCAGCATCAGTCCTTCCAATGAATATTCCGAGTTGATTTCCTTTAGGGTTGCCTAGTTTGATCTCCTTGCTGTCCAAGGGACTCTCAAGAGTTTTCTCCAACACCACAGTTCAAAAGCATCAGTTCTTCGGCACTCAGCTTTCTTTACAGTCCAACTCTCACATCCATACATGACTACTGGAAAAACCCTGGCTTTAACTAGATGGACCTTTGTTGGCAAAATAATGTCTCTGCTTTTTAATATGCTATCTAGGTTGGTCATAACTTTTCTTCTGAGGAACAAGTGTCTTTTAATTTCATGGCTGCAGCCACCATCTGCAGTGATTTTGGAGCCCAAGAAAATAAAGTCAGTCACTGTTTCCACTGTTTCCCCATCTATTTGCCATGAAGTGATGGGATCAGATGCCATGATCTTAGTTTTCTGAATGTTGAGCTTTAAGCCAACTTTTTCACTCTCCTCTTTCATCAAGAGGCTCTCTAAAAAAAAAAGAAAAAAAGGCTCTTTAGTTCTCTTTCGCTTTCTGCCGTAAGTGTGGTGTCATCTGCATATCTGAGGTTATTGATATTTCTCAAGCCTTGACGTACTCCTTTTCCTATTTGGAACCAGTCTGTTGTTCATGTCCATTTCTAACTGTTGCTTCCTTACCTGCATACAGATTTCTCAAGAGGCAGGTCAGGTGGTCTGGTATTTCCATCTCTTTCAGAATTTTCAGAATTTTCCACAGTTTATTGTGACCCACACAAAGGCTTTGGCATAGTCAATAAAGCAGAAATAGATGTTTTTCTGGAACTCTCTTGCTTTTTCGGTAATCCAGCGGATGTTGGCAATTTGATCTCTGGTTCCTCTGCCTTTTCTAAAACCAGCTTGAACATCTGGAAGTTCACGGTTCACGTACTGTTGAAGCCTGACTTGGAGAATTTTGAGCATTACTTTACTAGCGTGTGAGTTGAGTGCAATTGTGCAGTAGTTTGAGCATTCTTTGGCATTGCCTTTCTTTGGGATTGGAATGAAAACTGACATTTTCCAGTCCTGTGGCCACTGCTGAGTTTCTGGCACTAAGTACTCTTTTTTTTTAACTTTTTAACTTTTTTTTTTTTACAACGTTGTAATTCTTTTCAGTGTACAGCACGCTGATTTAGATATACATATGCGTGTGCGTGCTCAGTCATGTCTGACTCTTTGAACCCTTAGACTATACTTACACGTATATACATGGATTTTTCTTGATTATTTTCCCATATATGTTATTATTACAGTATGTTGAGTGCTATACAGTAGGTTCTTGTTGATTACCTAGTTTAGCACTAAGCACTCTTTGTGAAATACTTCAGAATAAAGTAATAGTACTTTAAAATGGCTCCAGAGATACCCCAGAATTCTTTCACTGAAACTCAGGTATGTCCCCAGAATTCCCTATCTCTTCAATCCGGATTATGACAGTATTTCCCCTCACCTGGTCCTTCTTCCACAACGAAAGGTTTTCTGAACAAATAGAAGTAATAGGGCTGTTAATGGCACTTTACAGATGGACTCCACTCTCCAGATATAAAGTGCTTACCCATGCCTCACGGCAAACCACGAGCCAACAATCCCAATTTACAGATGGGAAAGCTGAGGCCCAATGAGGCAGAGTGAGCCCTGGCAAAACCTCAGCTAACCTTGCTGCGTAATCCTGAGCATGCCCCTTGCCCCTTCTAATCTTACTTATCTGTAAGATGGGGATAGTGAGTTTTGTTCTGCAAGCCCCTCAGGACTGTGCATGGCCCTCCCCGGTGGGCAAGGCCTTCTTTATCTCCCCAACTTGGACACACATTGGGCTTCTGAGAACCCTGGAAAGAAAATATGCCTGTGAAAGTGTTGTATAAACTGTAGAGCGTATGCCTAGGCAGCACAAATAAATGACCAGAATTGGCAAAGCGGGGCAGACTTCGTTGGACCCCAGTTGAGGCTGAGCCTCCAGCTCTGGTTGTCTTCTCCAGGGAAACCCTCTCATCCTCTCCAGGAACCAGAACCTTGGCCTCTGACCCCACTCCCTTCTCTCCTACTCTAGCCCTGGGCCACCCGACTCTCACAGCACTGCCACCGTTGGCCACAAGAGCGGACTGGGCCTGGCGCACAGAGCCAGAGGGTAAGGAGCCCTGCCCTCCAGGCTGGAATGGTAGGGGTGAGGTGGGTAGGACTGGGAATTGGAAAGACTGTCTGGATCCATGGGGAGGGGGCCCGGGCTAGCAGGCCAGGGCTTTTGACCAGATGGTAAAGAGGTGGGTGAGAGAACAGATGAGCAGATGGAGCTAGGATGAAATCCAGAGCTCTGAAAAGTTCAGCAGGGTGGGAGGAGGCACTTCTTCGAAGTTCTGAAATAAAATTTGGCAGGGGTGGGGTGGAGTGGGGTGCTGAGGTTGGAAATCGAGGGACTTGTGAAAATTGAGATACAAGTTGAATGAAGGATAGAAGTACTTTTGGAATGAGGGCTGGAACTATCGTTGGCACTGAAATCTGGAAGTAGGATTTGGTTCATTCCCTTCAAGCTTCCTGAGGACCCCACCACAGCAGACAACATGGTAACTCTAGAATTGAGGCTGAGTAGGGTGAAGGCGTGGTAGAGGTCGGACATCTCCGTAGGCGCGCCCTGTGCCCTGCTGCAGGCCGGAAGTCCCCTTTGTCCCATTCAAACGCTCTAGATGCCTTATCTCTGCAGCTACAGGAGTTGGTGCCCTGCCTTCCAGGGAGCCCGCACGGCTCACCACTGCCGCCTGGGCGGCAGGGAAGAAAAGTAAGTGGCAGGACAGGGGTTCCGTTGCGGGTGGGAGAGGGTGGGGCCGGGGCTCTGCCAGGGAGCCGGCGGCCCCAGCCCAGCCCTTCTGGCCGCGGGCCTGTGCGCCCTGCAGGCGGGCGGCTGCGGCTGGTGGGTGGCCCGGGCCCGTGCCGCGGTCGCGTGGAGGTGCTGTACGCCGGGGGCTGGGGCACCGTGTGCGACGATGACTGGGACTTCGCGGACGCGCGCGTGGCCTGCCGCGAGGCGGGCTGCGGGCCGGCGCTGGGCGCCACGGGCCTCGGCCACTTCGGCTACGGTCGCGGCCCCGTGTTGCTGGACAACGTGGGTTGCGCCGGCACGGAAGCCCGCCTCAGCGACTGCTTCCACCTGGGCTGGGGCCAGCACAACTGCGGCCACCATGAGGATGCGGGCGCACTCTGCTCAGGTGAGGCCGCAGCAGGACCACGTGTGCACTGCGGCACAGGCGAGGCGGAGCGCCATCTGAGAAGTGGGCGGGGCCGCGCGCAGGCGCTTACTTAGGCATGGGCGGGGCCGCGCGCTGGCGCGTACCGCAGTGCCGGCTGGACTAGCAGCCTGAGGATGGGCGGGGCCTCGCGAAGGCACGCTCTGTGGCGCGGGCAGGGCGGGGTTCGTTGGGAAATGGGCGGGGTCGCCCGTGAGCGCTCACCGCGGCACTGCAGCGTGAGCGCGGCGGCAGAGTTCACGCTCCGCAGTAAGAGGTGGAGCCCACCATCGGGTGGAGCCCACTCTCTCTGCGGCTGCGCAGCATGGGCGGGGCCGGGAGGGGAGCGCCCTCTGCTGCAGTGCGGGGCGGGGCCGGAGCTGAGTCCGAAGTTCCAGAGCACAGAGTGGGAGAGTCAGTCAAGGGCGTGGTTGGGGAGCTTTTGCTGTGCTGCGTCAAGGATCCGAAAAGCTCTAGTTAGCAAGGAGAGTTGATCAGGTTTCGGGGAGCATACGTTTGTCCCTTGGGAAGTCACTGGAAAAGGGATAGTTGCAGAGTCCGACACATTTAAAAATGCATCTCCTTATAGACGGAGGTAGAAATTTATATTTTTGCCCTTGTTTGGTGCCCTGGTGGTAGCTTTGGCCACAGAGGGCTCTGCCTTGGGCCCAGAGCGAGAAAAACCAACCCCCGTTTCTGTTCCAAGAAGCGGGGGCCTATGAAGTCCTTTCTGATCCTAGAGCAGGCTTCCCTTGGAGGGTAAGAGGTAACCAGGTCTCAAGGGACTGGTTCCCCAGTGTCACAGCCACCTCTTTCTCTGTCCTTGCTGAGCCAGGTCCAGAGGAGCTAGTTCAGCAGGAGGGTGCTGAGACCACCCGGGTGCCCACTCCTCGGCCCAGGGATGGTAGGTGTTCACAGTCCCTAAGAGTGAGGTGGAGGCATCAGGGTAGGAGGGACCAGATCTGGAGGGAGGTCACAGCCCCGGGTTACACAGCAGATTTGCACCAGGCCCTAGAACCCTTGTCCTTTCCTGCTAGTCTCAGGCCTCATCAATAGAGATGTGATGTCTGGAAAGAAGGGGGGATGGTTTAAGCTAGAACAATCAAGAGATTTCTAGAGTTGGGACCAAAATAGAGGGACGGGGTTCTTGTCCTGAGGAGATCAATGAAAGAATTCAGGCTTTAATTTGGGGAGTCCAGAGAGGAGGGGAGATGGTGATGACCTTCGGGGACACAATCTCATTTGACAACAGCCGCAGTGCTGAGGTATTGGGATTGTAAACAGCTAAGGAGAGAGCAGACATGGAGCTCCCGGCATGCAGAGTACCCCACAAGGGCTTGCACACGTCTCCTGATGCCCATCTTATTTTATCTCATTTGTCTGCCCTCATCCAGGGGCTCCCAGGGCAGCGAGGTGTCCCAACCCACCACCCTTTGTCTCCTCTTAACTGTCCCTCCCCTGGCCTAGCTTGGGAGTGGCCTGGCCTGGGCCGGCCCCTTCCAGCCCCAGGCCTTGTCCCCCAACAGGGCACCTACGTCTGGTCAACGGAGCCCACCGATGTGAGGGGCGTGTGGAGCTCTTCCTAGGGCAGCGGTGGGGCACCGTCTGCGATGATGCTTGGGACCTGCGGGCAGCCGGCGTCTTGTGTCGCCAGCTGGGCTGTGGCCAGGCCCTGGCAGCCCCTGGTGAGGCCCACTTTGGCCCAGGCCGAGGCCCTATTCTCCTGGACAACGTCAAGTGCCGTGGGGATGAGGGTGCCCTGCTTCTGTGCTCTCACATCCGCTGGGATGCCCACAACTGTGACCACAGCGAGGATGCCAGTGTCCTGTGCCAGCCGGCGTGACCCAGCTCACTCTGCAGACCACCTCTTCTGGGAGCCTACTGTGGCCTGTCCCTCTTCCTCCAGGAAGTCATCCTCCTGTGACAGCAGCGGTTCACTCTGCCCTGCCCTCCCCTTGCCTGGGAGAAAGCCTGCCCAAATGGTGTGGTCCTGCCCAGGGGAGCATAGCCCATCAACTTAGTGGGTGACCTCACTGTCATCGCCTATGGTGGACCCAGTTCAATGAAAGCTCCCACTTTCTGCTCAGCTCAAACAAAGTGGTGGAAAGTGAATAATTCCTAACTGTCCTCTTTGGCAGGGGTCCCATTACAGGAACCCTGACCCAGCCTTCCTGGCCTGTGCTCCAGAAGGTTCAGCTGTAAATGGGGTATATCCCTTCCCTCCCGCCTCTACTCATCTTGGAATCCTCAAGAAGAGGGAAGGCAGGAGAGGCCTACAGTTCTGACCTTAGACTGCCAAGGGCTGCAGAAGAACCAGGGTCATTGCCCTGGCCTGCTCCAAGAGGGCCAGATGGTGCTTGGCTGGACAAGGGGACTGGAAGGGGCCAAAGCAGTGACAGTGGCCCCTCCCTGCAGCAACTCTGATTTCGGCTGCCCCCACGACAGAGCCTCCATTTTGTAGATGCAAAGAACCCTGGGGGCCTGTAGCCACCCGTTCATAGGTGCCAAGTCAATAAAGCATTGTTTCCCCCTCCTCGTCTTTTAACCAAGGTCAATGTTGGGGCGTAAGCGCACTGTTTGTAGCAGCAGGAAAGACTCTGGTTAGGACTCTGGAGGCAACCCGCTGGGGGGTGGAGAGCGGGTCAAGAGCATCATCAGAGAGCTTTCCACAGGCCCATCGCATCCTGGAAATGCTGACTCACAGTGTCAGGCCGCCAGGAAGGCCCCTAGAAGGTCCCCTGGGCCATCCTCACTTTTACGTTCACAGAAATCTGGGTCCTTGACAGGGTCTACTCGAGGTCATGAAACACGGTGGTCACGGCAGTGGAGTGACTAGAAGAGAAAAAAAAATTGACAGGAGGCAGAAAGGATGATGGGGAAAAGGAAGCAGCACTGGGGCTTCCCCAAGGGCTGCTCTTGGGGTACCTCACCTGGAGTCCCAGGGCAACAGAGAAGTGGGGGATGCTGCCAGAGCCTCTGTCAGCTCCAAGGTGCATGACTTGCCAATAGCAATTGTCTGACCAAAAAAACCCCGCCTTCCACATTAGCCTGCAGGCTCTATATGAGTTTTCTCTTATTGCTGTAAATTATCACAAATTTAATGACTTTAAACAACATAAATTTATCATCTTACAGTTCCTGAGGTCACAAGTCGGAAATGGGTTTCCCTGGTCTAAATTCAAGAGTGTTGGCAGGGCAGTATTCTTTCTAGAGGATCTGGAGGAAAATCGATTTCCTCACCTTCACCAGCTTCTAGAGGCTGCCTGCATTCCATGCCTGCTCAAGACCTCCTTCCAGTCAGCAATTGCATCACTCCCACCCCAGCTTCCATCATCTCTTTTTCTGACTCTCCTGCCTCCCTCTTCCATCCTTAAAGGTCTTTTATGATTATATCAGGCCCACCTGGATAATCCAAGATAATCTCCCCATCTCAAGGTCCTTAATTTAACCACATCTGCACAATCTTTTTAACCATGTAAAGTCTCATTTTCACCAGCTCCAGGGATTAAGACACGGACATCTTTGGGGGGAAGGCATTATTCTGCTTCCCACAGGCTCCAAACCCAAGTCCTGGCTGCCAGCCAAAGAGCGGGGCAGACACTTAAGCTCCAAACCCCATCAGCTCTTGGCAGTATTGGTTTTGTCTCCATTTGTCAGGGAGCGCCCTGTGTCACTGGAGGGGTGAAGGCTGGAAGAGGGAAAGGAATGACAATGCTGAAGAATTCAGGGAGACGGGGCTTCTGGTTCAGGATGGTGGAGTAGAAGGACGCGTGCTCATCTCCTGTGAGAGCACCAAAGAATGGAGGGAGTCAGGCAGAGAAACAGGGATGTTCTAGCCACCCAGAGCCCCAGAGCTGAGTGCAGCACGCTATCATTCTCACAGCCCATGGTTACTACCTCTCCAGGTACATCACCGACTTGATAAGACATGAGTTTGAGCAAGCTACGGGAGTCGGTGATGGACAGGGAAGCCTGGCGTGCTGCAGTCCATGGGGTCGCAAAGAGTCGGACACGACTGAGCAACTGAACTGACTGACTGACTGAGGTACACCCACATTCAAGTATGCCTCTCCACTGTCTTGAGGTGTATCACAGCTTCCCACCCCTGGACTCCCCTTCCCCATCTAAACAAAGTGCTTTCATCGGTGCTCAACTCAAGGGAAGTATTAGCATCTCTTTTTACAGACAAGGAAAACAGGCTCAGAGAAGGGAAATGACTAATCCAGGTTTGCAGAGCAGACGCAGGACTGGAAGCTAATATTCTTTCTTTTCTTGGCTGCACCACATGGCATGCAGGATCTTAATTCCTTGACCAGGGATCGAACCCATGCCCCCTGCATTGGGAGCATGGAGTCTTAGCACTGGACTGCCAGGGAAGGCCCTTTGCTCAACTCCTTAGTTCAGTCTACAGAGTCTCCTGCACAGACTGGCCTTGCTTGTGTTTTTGACATCATCCATCACCACTTGGTGCCAGGATCTCGCCAGGCTGAACTACTTTCAGTTCCTCTAATGTCTGGGCTTTCTTCCCACCAGGCCTCTGCACATGCTGTTCTCTCTGCCTGGAATACACGTCACCCTCTCCCCTCCTTCCCCCTTAGTCAACTCTTATTTAGCCTCATGGCTCAGCTTTCCTTTTCTCCAGAAGGCCTTCATGGGTATCCCCTCCGGCACCCATGGTCAGGACTAGGAGCCCCCATCACACCCTCTACCTGCCCAGGGACAGCACCGACCTCCTCATCTCAGCGGACTGCTCTGACTTGGCTGTGTCCTGCTGGGGCTGGGGCTGTTGTGTTCAACTTTGTGTGCAAGACCTCATACACAGCAGGTGCTCAAATAATATTTGGCCAGTGAACAGAGGACCTGAGCAAATATTTCTGGAGAACCCATGTGCTAGTCTGACCACTGGGCTGGACTCTGTGAGATCTAGACCCGTTTCTGTTTGCATGGCCCAGGTTACCTTCAAGGCAAGTCCCGTGATAAGGCACTGAACAAATCAACAGCCAAGAGATTTGGAGCAGTGATTCCTGCTACAAAGAACATGAAGCAGGGTGTTATGGGAGGGATTGGCTGGTGAGGGAAAGCCTCTGAGGAGGTGAGACTTGAGCTGGGCCTGGGTGGGAACCAGCCATGAGCCTCTTGTTGACCATGAAAAGGTTTAGGGTAGACCATTCCAGGTCCTTCACTAGGGATTTAGCCTGGCCTGCAGAAGGACCAGCAAGAAGGGCATTGTGACTGGAGCAAAGCGCCAAGAGACAAGTCAGGAAAGCTGGTAAGAGTCAGACCACTCAAGGCTTTCTGGGCCACCGGGAGGAGTTTTATTCTAAGGGCAATGAGCCTCTTGGACATCTCCCGCATCTTTCAACTTCCTGACTGCACCCTGCTTCATAAGATTAATTAAAAGGGCCCATTAAAATAGAATACTGAGGATCCCTACCAAAAATCTCAGGAATTCTTATGGAGGTTAGTGAAGTGAGTGAAAGTCACTCAGTCATGTCTGACTCTTTGTGACCCCATGGACTACACAGCCCATGGAATTCTCTAGGAGAAGCCTTTCCCTTCTTCAGGGGATCTTCCCAATCCAGGGATAGAACCCAGGTCTTCCACATTGCAGGCAGATCCTTTACCAGCTGAGCCACAAGGGAAGCCCAGGAATACTGGAGTGGGTAGCCTATCCCTTCTCTAGAGGATCTTCCCGACCCAGGAATCGAACCGGGGTCTCCTGCATTGCAGGCGGATCCTTTACCAACTGAGCTATGAGGGAAGCCCCTTATGGAGGTTAGGTCCTGCTAAGTCCCCCTGACTTTTGCTGATTTCTCAATCTCCCATCTGCTTTTACCTCCTTTGTGACTCCCCCTTTACCTGTTCACTGACTAAGCCCTTCACCCCCAAAGTTCCACCGATTCCAGGCTGCGCATGGGGCACGCTTGGCCACTGGCTTGGAGCAAGCATTCAACAAGCAGTTGAGGGACTTCTCTGGCGGTCCAGTACTAAAGACTCCACCTTCCAATGCAGGGGACTCGGACTCAATCTGTAGTTGGGAACGAAGACCCCACCTACCTCGGGGGAACTAAGCCCTCATGCCCGTGGGCTCTGGAACCCATGCGGTGCCACAACTTGAGAGGAGCCTGCGTACAGCAACAAAAGATCCCACGTGCCACAGCTAAGACCTGACGCAGCCATAAATAAATAAATAAATGTTAAAAAACAAAGATCCAGCATGCCCCAACAAAGATCGAAGATCCCCGTGTGCCAAAACTAAGACCTGGCACAGCCAAATAAATAAATAAAAAGAACAACATTAAAGAATCAAACAACTGAAAATTGTTAAACTCATGTCCATTACTATTATTATTATTATTTTGGCCACACCACACAGCCTGTGGGATACTAGTTCTCTAACCAGGGATGAAACCCAGGTCCCCTGCTGTGGAAGCTCAGAGTCCTAACAACTGGACCACTAAGAAGTCCCTACATATCCTGTTTTTAAAGAGCCCTTTTGTACATTCACATGCATATACAGGGCCATCATCACCACCACTGCACACACAGGCACATTCCCACATCATTTTTATCTCGATTTTCTCTACTCTAGCCCTAACAGCCTACCCCAAATGAGACCCTCCCTGTCTCCTACCCCAAAGTTTGCAAGCCCTCTGACTCCCACATTTTTGCCTTTTCTTAAACAACAGCATTATTGAGATACAATTCACATAACATTCACCCTTTTAAAGTGTACAATTCCGAGGTCCGTTAGCTATTTGCAAGGTTGTGCAACTATCACCACTATCTAATTCCAGTACATTTCATCACCCCACCAAAAAAACCTCATACCCATTAGCAGTC